CACACGCCATATGGATGTGCCCAATCTGTAACCAATACTACTTTAGAAAATACTGGCTAATACTGATTGCACAAATAGCCAAAAATATCAAATTAATATCTGCCCTTATTCTTGCCCATTTGAAATCTCAGATTATAATCTTTCTATCGGGCTCACAACTAGTATTGACAAATCCATAGCACTTTCTCTTTTCTATACAAACATCAAAACCATCAAAAACACCTATGTGTATAACACTAACAACAAACTCTCATAGGATGAGCTTCATACCTATAGAGGATACATATCCACAAGCCCTATTCCAAACTGGTTCAAGAACATACCACTAACAAATTAGGCCATTGTTAAAAATTTACTTCCAATACTTAATCCAAAACCTTAATTTCAGGCATGCATCAACAACGGAACAGTTGACCTGATCAAAACCAGAAGAAATGCAACCCAATAACAAATAGTCAAAGGACAGCACTATCAAGTCCTACCTAACAAAAAAATCCAACAGTATTTCTGTAATACACAATCTTGCATTATAGAAAAAGACTTTGTCAACACCAAGTCAACATGGATAACAACATGTAGTAATTATTCTTTTCTACTGAACAATATTGAAGAACTATCCTTTCTTCTCTCTACTTCTTTATGCTCTCTACCACAAATTATAATAACCAAATCTTTAACAACCTTACCACCACCCACATCAACTAACATCTTCTTCCTTAATGAAAAAATTATTATTTAAAAACTCAATGCTAATGTACTCTACAAATTAAATGCCAATCCGTAGGCAGGATTCTGGCCTATCTTATTAAAGACTATATAAGAAACCTCCAACAATTCAATAATCAGATGTTAGCTACAGGCCTAACCAAATTTAAAAATATCAGAATACATCAATTGTCAAGTCAAAATTTCATACAGCAGATATATCAGAACAATAAATTTCCAGCAGAATAACAAAAACATAACATTTGAATGGATTACAAAAAAAGAACACAAGAGTTCCCCACCTTCAAATCCTACTAACAATCTCCCAATTCCACAAATATTTTCAGAAATATACAATACCTCACCTCTAATTAATCACATACATGCTACTAGTATCACACATTGGATAAAATTTGTCAACTATTACACCAATTTTTTCAATATTCTCCTAAGTCAGTCAGCAACCTTTAAGACTGTCTCAAGACCTACATTAGAACTTATTCACAGTGCCAACAAAAGACTTAGAAAAAGTGATCAATTGAAATTTAGAAGTCTGTCAGTGTTCAGAACCAAACTCATCACAAATCAGCTACCCACAAAAATCAAACTCCACAAAAGATACCCAAGTCTATATAAAAGTAATCTTTGTTCATAATGCAAAGCCTACCCAGAGGACCAAGTGCACATCTTTTTATGCATTCATGCCCAATGGACAATCGAAAAGAAAAAAGAAAAACTTATAGATTATCTAAATAAAAGCTTACATCAAGCAAACACCAAAAACAGACCTCTATCAACATTTGTATCACTATCAACATTGGATATAATGAATCTTGTGCTTGGAAACCTACAATCACTCCTAGATAAAATTCAAAACAATAAAGGTGACATGTCAAACAAGGCACTTAAAATTCTTTACAAAGTCTGGAAAGAGTGATTATTGACAGCCACCACATCACCAACTTCAGAAGTTAAATGAAAAAAAACTTCAGTTACAGATTCCAATTATAGCACCAAAAACAATAATACGACTTTTTATAAAATACTTAATACATTAGTGTCTAACAATAACCTAACTGATAAAAATATTTTTACTTCCACAATTATATCATCATTTTGAATAGGCATTAGCCATTCAACACTGTTAGCATGTACCCATCTACTTGGTGTAAGCTAGTGCTAACAAAAAGTTGCAATAGGCTAGGGTTAACTTACTCATGTAAAGATCTTTAATGTAATGGCTATAAACTCTTGTTTAATAAAAGTCTCATATTTAATGTCTATTTGCGATTTAAAAAAAAAAAAAAAACAATTAATAAACTTATCAATTTAATTGACTTTACAACAGGTATATTTCAACTTAAATACTTATTTAATAACTTAAAGCAAACTTAACAAGATCTAAAAACTTTTAATATAATTTAAAGCAATATACTTGAACTCATATATTCATATTTTATTTTCAAAAAACAAAGATATGATAGTAGAAAAGGAATTTCTCAACATATTACAAAACACTAAATACAAAAAAAAACAAGAAAAATGATAATAACAAAAATTGGAAAAAATCTATACAATATTAACAAAACATAAAAACCACTTTAACAATCAATGTAATGACAAATTAGCTTAATAAAACAAACTTACTGATATTTCTATCAAAATTCTTTTATATATTCAGAATAGATTAAATTATTAAGAAGACATTAGCTCTCCAAGATCAAATAGCTCCTTTTTTTTTCTTTCTTGTTCAAGGTTTTTTTTAAAAATATTTTTAATATAATAGTAAACTAATATATAGCAATATATCTTATATTTTAATATCAATTATGTGATATATTAATAAAAATTGAAAGAAATGTTTTACTCAACATTAAAAAAAAATTTCTAAAAAATTTTGTATACCACTGTAAATAATTATAAATAGATCAATAATTATTAAAAGTTAAATATTTAAATATTATTTTAAAATTAAGATATTTAATTTAATTAATAAATTAAAACAATATATTGTAAATCCTTATTAAATATTAAAATCAAACTAAATATAAATTATAATAAATATTATTAGACTAAAAAATAATAAGTTAGTTACTTCACCAGTTCAAAGTTTGTATAATTAAAGAGTAGTTAATATATATAAGACTTATTTAATTAAAAAAATTTTTTATTAACAAGTTTTTCAACACTGATTTTTTTTATAATTCTAAATTATATTTTTATATAACAGTAATTATTTTTTCTTAAATAATATATACTTGAAAAAATAAGTTTATTAATTAAAATATTTCTTTTATTGTAATTCAATTTTATTAATTGCTTTTTTTTTTTACTATTTCTATTGTTTACTTTTATAATAATACTTTTTATATTATTAATATTATTAAAAAAACAATTAAAGAAAAATAAACTATTAAGGCAAATCATAAATTATCAAGTAAGTAATTTAACTTTTATGACTATATTTTCTTTACTAATTACTAATGATATTTTTTCATTTCCAGAATATTGTAAGAGAATTATTATATAGGCTAATATTATAATAATAGCAAATCTTTTAAATCTGAGTTATTTTTACTATAATTATTTTATTTTATTTATTTATTTTCTTAATTATATATCTTTTATTGATTATAGTTTAAATAGCAGTTATAGTAATTATAGTAGAAATAATTAGAATATTTATTATAATTTTATTATAAACTAATATATATTGTAACACAGGAAAAGATAATACATCTTATACTGAATTTTGGCTTCCCTACAATATTGTGTGAAGATCAATAGTATTGAGCATAATAAGCATGATAAAAAACTAGTATGAACCTGAAAAAATGATAATCGTTAAAAGAAAGTCAGATTATGATACAATCGCAACTATTGCTATATGACTGGATCATGCAAGAATCGATTATGACACTATAGAATCAAACAATAGAATTATATAATAAGAGTAACATAAAAATTAAATAGCAATTGCTTTATCATAAGAATTTTTAATGGTTTTTTTTAATTTGTATTTATTATTTTTATTATGTAATAAATGTATAAAAATATATAAAAGAGAGAATAGATTAAATAAAGGAAAAATAATGAAGTTCAGTTAATAAAGTTTTTTTTGGCCAATATCAATTCTGCCTTACTATAAAACACCTACCATTATTATATATATTTGAACTTTCCTTAATGATAGACTTACCAAACTCATTACAATATATAAAGAAATTTCATATCTTTGGACCTCTGAGTTCATAGCTCAGTGATTAAAGTGCTATAGATTGGTATTACAAATTACATGTTCAAATCTACTAGGGGGCTAATGTAGAAACTTATATATTATTAATATAACCAAATAATTGATGTTTTCAATTATAGAAAAACTGGTCTATAAAAGAATCATGATATAGTTATTATTCAAAATCAGCTAGGATTATTTTTAATATAATCGTATTGCCAGAAGTGATAATAAGAAAGTAGATTCCAAATCAGTAGAGTGTACTGAAGAATTTCTAATAGTTGTATTAAAGAATATTAATCAAGCACTTGGCTGTGTTGACTTTTATAGACTTTACTATTAGGATGCCTTGGTGGTAAATAAAACTGTAGATTATTTTTAAAAATCAAAAATCAGAATTCAGGATATTGAAATCAATAGTCTTATAACCAAAATATTTTTAAGAATAAAATTGTTCTAAAAAAAATTAAAACAAATTTGTACATCTTTCTAAAAACAGAAATTTAAGTAGTGATTATATATAGCATTAAGTTAGTAATATATAACTAGTTATATATAGATAAGTTAGCTATAAACATATATATATAATACTTGTTAAATATATATGGTACTACCTTAAAAAGTTTAATAAGAAGATTTAGCAAGCATAAAATGCAATAGGCTAAAGTATTTAGTTGTATGATACTAAAGCTCTGAAAAGTCAAACTGGTATTGAAATGGTACCAATATATAGTAAATTTAATATATGGGTTGTAACTTACTCATATGTTTTTATAGTAAATTTAAGTATTGAACTGGTACTTCCATCTTTGGCAAATTTTAGACACTCTTTAAACATGTTAATTTCTATTTGATGATTGTTTCTTTTTCTAAAATAAATGTAATGTATATAATTTAAGAGATTACGGTAGTATCATATCGACTTCAGAGTTTATATGAATCAAGTAGTACCACTGATATGAAACATGTTCATAGTTCAGCTTATTATTGCTAAATTTATGTTTATTTTATAACTTTGTAAAATAAATCTTGAACACTATTAAAAGCAAAAGATTTTTAGGAAAGGAGCCATGGCTTATGGGCAAGAGACCATTTGAGGTTGACTTGTTCACAGCCTATGGAGTGTACCTGGATGATATATTTAAAGATTTCAGGGAAGGGAGATATATAACACGTGGCAGACGGCATTCAACATTGTTCAGAGTTTACTCCAATGGCGTGTCCATGAAGAAAGAGAATTACATGCATCCACAGAGACTATTAAATCTCTAGTCTTAATAGCCATAAATTTTGATGTTTTTTTTTAATTTCCTATAAATTTTCTAGTGTATTTTTCTGATTTTGGACCACGTGATAATCTTTAATAAAGCCTCATGTCTATACTTCATAATTCTGCACAGTAGCTACACAGATGATACACAATGCTGTGGTGTGTCACATGAGTAAGCTAAGGTGTCAAAAAAATCTTTGCTTGTAACATAGTATTTGTATCGTTAACGCTAACACTTATTGTATTTTTAAATTATACATAGACAATGAATTTTATTCAGAGAATGATTATAGCATCTTTTGGTAATTAGTTAATTATATTAACATTAACACTATCTTTATCTGTAATCATTAATTTATCTAAGTTATGTTTTTTCACTTTAACTACGATTACAGACAGTAAGCATTTTTTTTCACTAATATTTGTAGAGTAAATTTTTATCAAAAGCGTTTTAATCGATTTGAGAAATAATTTTTACTTTAACTACCATTACAGACAGTAAGAATATTTTCATTAATATTTGTTAAGTAAATTTATTTCAAAGATAAATTAATCCATTTACGTTATATTTTTTACTTTAACTGCGATTAAGACTGCAAGCATACTTCATTAATATTTGTTGAGTAAATTCACATAAAGGTGGTTTTATTGATCTGAGTTATATTCTTTAAATACGATTACAGACTGCAAGTATATTTTCATTGATATTTGTTGAGCAAATTTTTATCAAAAATACTTTAATTGAAGAGCTACAGTATATTATTTCGATTACAGACGGTATGAATATTTTCATTGATATTTGTAGCCATTCATATTAAATGTGTATTAATTGATCTAAGTTATGTTCTTTACTTTAACTACAATTACAGACTGTAAGCATATGTTCATTGATACAGTATTTGTTGAGTAAATTTATATAATAGATGATTTGATTGATTTGAGTTATATTCTTCCTTTTAGGGGGTATGCATATTTCAATTAATATTTGTTGGATAATTCCTATGATAAGTGGTTTAATTGATCTGAGTTATGTTCTTTAATTTAACTACGATTACAGACGGTAAGCATACTTTCATTAATATCTGTTGAGTAAATTCATAGGTGGTTTAATTGAACTTGGCCATATTTTTTAACTACAATTCAGACGGCAAGCATATTTTTATTAATATTTGTTGAGTAAGTTCATATAATCGATGATTTAATTAATCTGAGTCATATTCTTTACTTTAACTGCAATTACAGACGGTAAGCATATTTATGTTAATATTTGTTGAGCAAATTTATATAATAGGTGGTTTGAATCGTCTAAGTTATATTCTTTACTTTAACTGCAATTATAGACGGTGAGCATATTTTCATGATACTTGTTGAGTAAATTTATATTATAGGTTTAATTGATCTGATTTATATTCTTTAATTTAACTACGATTATAGACGGTAAGCATATTTTCATTAATACCTATTGAATAATTTATATAATATGTGGTTTAATTGATCTGAGTTATATTCTTTACTATAACCATAATTACAGTCGGTAAGCATATTTTCATTAAAAGTTGTCGAGTCTTATTATAGAGGTTTAATTAATCTGAGTTATATTCTTCACTTCGACCAAAATTACAGATAGTAAGCATATTTTTATTAATATTTGTTGAGGCATTCATATCATAGGTTGTTCAATCAATCTGAGTTATATTATTTACTTTAACTATAATTACAGACAGTAAGCATATTTTCATTAATATTTGTTAAGTAAATTCATATTATAGGTGGTTTAATTAGTCTGAGTTTTACCTTTTACTTTTAGGGGGTAGGTGTATTTTCATTAATATTTGCTTAATGATTTATATAATAGGTGGTTTGATCGATCTGTGTTATAACCTTTACTTTAACTATTATTATAGACTGTAAGCATATTATTGTTAATATTTATCGAGTAAATTATTTGATGGGTGGTTTAATGAATCTGAGTTATATTCTTTACTTTAACTACCATTACAGACGGTAAGCATATTTTTATTAATATTTTTTGAGAAAATTCATATAATAGAAGGTTTAACAAATCCGAGTTATATTATTTAACTAAAATTATAGACGGTAAGCATATTTTATTAATATTTGTTGAGCAATTTCTATGATAGGTAGTTAAATTGATCTGAATTATATCATTTAACTGCAATTACAGACGGTAAGTATACTTTCATTAATATTTGTTGAGTAAATTTTTATTATAGGTAGTTTAACTGATCCAGGTTATATCTTTTAACTATAATTACAGACAGTAAGCATATTTTCATTAATATTCGTTGAGTAAATTCATATTATAGATGGTTTAATTGATCTAAGTTATATTCTTTGCTTTAGGGAGTAAGCACATTTATTAATATTTGTTAAGTAAATTCATATCATAGGTGGTAATTAATCTGAGTTATGTTCTTTACTTTAACTACAATTATAGATTGTAAGTATATTTTTATTAATATTTGTTGAGCAAATTCATATAATAGATAGTTTAATTGATCTGAGTTATATTTTTACTTTTAGGGGGTAAAAATAGTTTTCTTAATTTTTGTTAAGTAATTTCTTATCATATGAGGTTTAGTTAATCTGGGTTTTATTTTTTACTTTAATTACCATTACCATTACAGACTGTAAGCATATTCATTAATATTTGTTAGGTAAATTCATATATTAGATGGTTTAATGGTTCTGAGTTATATTCTTTGCTTTAACCACCATTACAGACAGTAAGAATACTTTTATTAATATTTGTTGAGTAAATTCATATAATGGGTGGTCTAATTGATCTGAGTTATAATATTTACTTTTAGGAAGTATATTTTCATATAACATGTGGTTTTATATATCTAAGTTATGTTCTTTACTTTAACTACAATTACAGATTGTAAGCATATTTTCATTAATATTTGTTAAGTAAATTCATGCACTAGCTGGTTTAACTAATCCGATTTATATATTTACTTTAGGGGGTAAGCATATTTTCGTTAATATTTTGTTGAGTAAATTCATATCATAGATGGTTTATTTGATCTGAGTTATATTGTTTACTTTAACTACCTTTGCAGTTGGTAAGCATATTATCATTAATATCTGTTGAGTAATTCCTATGATAGATGGTTTAATTTATCTGAGTTATGTTCTTTAACTACGATTGCAGACTGTAAGCACATTTTCATTAATATTTGTTGAATAAATTTATATAATAGTTGGTTTAATTGATCTGAGTTTTGTTCTTTAACTACGGTTATAGATTGTAAGCACGTTTTAATTAATATCTATTGAGTAAATTTATACTATGGTCGGTTTGATTTATCTAAGTTACATTCTTTACTTTTAGGGGGTAAGCATATTTTCATTAATATTTGTTAAATAAGTTTATATGATAGGTTGTTTGATTGATCTAAGTTATATTCTTTACTTTAACTACGATTATAGTCGGTAAGTATATTTTCATTTATTTGTTGAGTAAATTCTATTATAGGTGGTTTAATGGATCTGAGTTATACAGTATTATTTACTTTAACTACGATTACAGACGGCAAGCATATTTTCATTAATATTTGTTGAATAAATTTATATTGTGGTGATTTAATTGGTCTAAGCAATATTTTTTACTTTTTAGGGGGTGAGAATATTTTCATTAATTTTGTTAAGTAAATTCATGTCCCAGGTGGTTTGATTAATCTGAGTTGTGTTTTTTAACTGCAATTACAGACGGTAGGGATGCTTTCATTAATATTTGTTGAATAATTTCATATCATAAATGGTTTAATTGATCTAAGTTATATTATTCACTTTAACTATTATTACAGACAGTAAGTATAAATTCATGAATATTTATTGAATAAATTCATATCATAGGTGGTTTAATTGATCTAGTTATCTTCTTTACTTTAATTACGATTACAGTTAGTAAACATATTTTCCTTAATATTTGTTGAGTAAATAAAGGTGGTTTAATTGATCTGGTTTATATTCTTTACTTTTAGGGGGTAAGCATATTTTCATTAATATTTGTTGAATAAACTCATATCATAGGTAGTTTAATTGATCTGAGTTATATTCTTTACTTTTAGGGGGTAAGCATATTTTCATTAATATTTGTTATTTTAAATAAACTACATTTTCTTTTATTATTAGCTATAATAGTTTGATTTATGTTATAATTTTAATTACTTAGATAAATGCAATCAATGTAAAAAAGAAGTCACTGGTTTCTGGTGTCATTTTTGCAACTCCCTTCGTTTTAAAGAAGAATTTAATAAATGGACAAGCGGAAATAAAGATATTGATGATTTTATTCAAAAAGCGCAATTGGAAGCAAAAAGCAGATTCAAGACACTAGAATGGATTCCATACGAAAATTTTGAAAATATCAAAAAAATTGGTGAAGGTGGTTTTGCGAAAGTTTATTCTGCTGATTGGAAGGAAGGGTCTATCTTATATTGGAGTAAATATGATCAATGGAAGAGATCCGGAGAAATAAAGGTAGCCCTAAAATGTTTAAAAAACTCTCAGGAGATATCTAAAGAATATTTGGAAGAGGTAATAATTATATTATCAATGCAATGAAATTTAATTCTTTCGTATCGCGCAATAAAATTAAATATTTATTAAGGAGATCATTTAGTAACTTATATAAATTACTTTGCTGATAACAAATTCAACTTTTAATCCAGGTAAAAAACCTTCATAAATTGAACGATGGTAGATCACAAATTACCAGATGCTATGGAATCACCAAAGATAAAAAATCAAACCTTATGATCGTTATGAAATTTGTTGATCATACTAAGGTAATTCACGAGATATCGTGGAAAGAGAAGTTCAAGCGTTTACATTATGCTGCACTTGGATTATACAAAATTCACAAATCCGGATTAGTTCACCGTGATATTCACCTTGGAAATGTTCTTTTTTCTAATAATAATAGTGAGGTTTACATAACAGATTTAGGGTTATGCAAACCAGCCAATTCTAA